GTGTCTTGTAGAGTCCAGGAAAGCTCTGACTGATCTTTAGCCTCACAATAGCCTGTCACGATGAAGAGAACAAAGTATAGACTGTATCATTCTCCTGCAAGCTCCTGTGGAGTTTCTCTTTCTGTTCACCCTTCTTGACATTTCCTTCTTTCCCGTCTCATTTGAAAGGCTTGAAAATTCACATTAGGGCTAGACAATAAATATGAAAACAAATTGTTATGAAATTAAATGTTTATGTTAGAACTAAATGATCAAATGTAAGAATATTCATTATATGCATCTTTTTGAATAACAGTGAATTTTTACCAAAACATTTGAATGCATGTAAAATGTCACATGGAGACTTTGCAAAAAAAACAATAATTGAATCAGATTTTTAAGTTTGAACTAATACACAGAATGTATTTAAGTTGACCAAGTTTATGTATTGACAACAAAAATCATTGTATGTATATATTTTTACACACACACACACACACACACACACACACACACACAATATACTCAATGATTTCTGTTTGAATATATTTTAAAACTGAATTTATTCCTGTGATGCGCAGCTGAATTTTCAGCAGCATCACTCCAGTCTTCAGTGTCACATGTTCCTTTAGAAATCATTCTAATATGCTGATTTGCTGCTCAAGAAACATTTTATATTATTATCATTGTTGAAAAAAGTTTTGCTGCTTCATATTTATGTGTAAACCTTAATATTTTTTAAGGATACTTTGATGAATAGAAAATTCAGAAGAACAGCATTTAGCCTAATTGAAATAGAAATGGCATTGCGGTTTTCTTTCTTTTTATTTGAAATAACTTATGAAAGCTCCAGAGAGCTTGTTCTGTCAAGATATATTTTGCTATATCAAGATCACAAGAAACATATGTCTTGATCTCAAGAAAATAAGGCTGAAAAATAATAATGTCTGGTCTCCGTGGGCCATGTTTGAAAACACTATTTTTACATTTCTATTTAGTCCTGCAATGATCTTGTAAATCTCAGTACTGCTGTTTGACACTGTCTTTATCTGACGAATGCATCAGCGTTGCGTGTTTTCACATACGATTTCTCACAGCTTCAGTTTCATACTGGAAACTGACTGACATGTGAGTGGAGTTGAAACGCTGCTCAATCATTACACTCAGAAATGTACACGTTTCTGTATGTACATGTAATGTATTGCACATGCATTAACTGCCAAGTCTCCATCAAGATCCACCATGTTAATTTGATAGCAATGGTAGTTTACGTAAATGCTGGCGAGACTGTTATTATGCCAATTTTCTCTGTGTATAAATTGCAATTTTACTTTTCAAGATGCATTGCAGCTTTCAACAACCCGTCACCACAGGAGCTTTTGTAAGCATGCAACACAATCATTTTCTACCAGATTCACTTTGAACAAAGAATCAAAATTAAGCGCAGTTTGCACCAGAAGCAGTAAGCGAACGAAACGGTCCAGTTGCATGCATTTCTGTGCAGCAGGTACAGCAGATCGAGTCAGCAGCACCCGTGAGTAATTGCTTGTGAAGTATTGCTGATGTCCTAATCGGCAGTTTGGTATAGCGTGTTTTCTTCATTGCTGTCAGAGGATGTGGTTTCATCATTAACGGACGTGTTCATTTCGATCTGTGAAGGGAGGTCTCTGAGGGGCGTAGGCTGCATTAAGGCTGGGGCCGAGTTCAGATTTAGAAACTCTAACAACATTAAAGTGCATAGGTTAAGTGCGAGGCTATAAGGAAATTAGTGTAAATCTCTAATTTGAGATGAAAACAATGACCTGACAGTAATTTGAGGGCAACCCTGTTACTATAATGAGTTGCTATTTTTATTCAAACATCCTTGTCCTTAATTTAAAATGCTGCTGACTTATAGCAGGTGCTGATATGAGTGTTGTTCTTACACGTTATCTCTACTTTGTTCCATAGAGACATTATTCTCTTTTATTTGACTAAAACAGCAGTTTTAAATGGCTGTTATTGCTGACGTGGGGATTGTGACAAAGAGACGATTCAGACCAGCCTGTGCCCTTAAAACACTGCCTGTCAGCCTTTTTCTCATGCGTTCAGCAGAATGTAATTGTGAAGATGGAGACGGTCTCTGATCAGCAGCTGAAATCAGTCACGATCCAGCATCAGCGCACAACAGATGACAATATTTATGACGTGGAAACTTTTGAGGCATGTTGCACAAATAAATCAGTCTAAATCGAGCTTTCAGGAGTAATTTGAATTTTCAGAACAAAGATTTTACATTAGAAGTGAGCCTAGATGAGGAAGAACTATATGGAATATAGCATATTATATTCACTACCGTTTAAAAGTTTGGGGTCTGATTTTTTTATTATTTTGAAAGAAGTCTCTTGATCACAAGGTTGCATTTATTTGATTAATCCTCATATTTTGTTCTGGTCATGCTGACATGG